TTTGCTGAAATTTCATTGCAGCAACTCAAAATGGTACTCAGTAGTTTGTATGGCCCCCACGTGCTTGTATGCAATGTCAGAGCATGCTCCTAATGAGACGACAGATGATGTCCTGGGGTATTTCTTCCCAGATGTGGACCAGGGCATCACTGAGCTCCTGGACAGTCTGAGGTGCAACCTGGCGGTGTCGGATGGACCGAAACATGATATCCCAGAGGTGTTCCATCGGATTTAGGTAAGGTGAGCGTGAGGGCCATTCAATGGTATAAATTCCCTCAACCTCCAGGAACTGCCTGTATACTCTTGCCACCTGAGGCCGGGCATTGTCATGTACCAGGAGGAACCCAGGACCCACTGCACCAGCGTAGGGTCTGACAATAGGTCCAAGGATTTCATCCTGATACCTAATGGCAGTCAGGGTGCCATTGTCAGCCTGTAGAGGTCTGTGAGTCCCTCCATCGATATGCCTCCCCAGGTCATCACTGATCCACCACCAAAACGGTCATGCTGAAAGATGTTACAGGCAGCATAATGTTCCCTATGGCTTCTCCAGACCCTTTCATGTCTGTCACATGTGCTCAGGGTGAATCTGCTCTCATTTGTGAATGGCAAATGTCAAGGGCAAATGCCAATCGAGCTCTATGGTGCTCTATGGTGCTGGGCAGTGAGCACAGGGCCCATTAGAGGACGTTGGGCCCTCAGGCCACCCTCATGAAGTCTGTTTCTGATTGTTTGGTCAGAGACATTCACACCAATGGCCTGCTGGCGGTCATTTTGTACGGCTCTGGCAGTGCTCATCCTGTTCGTCCTTGCACAAAGGAGCAGATACCGGTCCTGATGATGGGTTAAGCACCTTGTACGGCCCTGTCCAGCTCTCTTAGAGTAACTGCCTGTCTTCTGAAATCTCCTCCATGCTCTTGAGACTGTGCTGGGAGATGCAACAAACCTTCTGGTAATGGCAGATATTGATATGCTATCCTGGAAAAGTTGAGCTGCCTCTGCAACCTCTGTAGGGTCCAGATATCACCTCATGCTACCAGTGGTGATACTGACCCTAGCCAAATGCAAAACTAGTGAAAAAACAGAAAAGATGAGTAGGGGAAAATATGTCAGTGGCCTCCCTGTAAAACCATTCCTGTTTTGGGGGTTGTCTCATTGTTGCCCATCTAGAGCACATATTGTTAATTTCATTAACACCAAAGCAGCTGAAACCATTTAACAACCCCCTATGCTACATAACTGACCAGACCAGTATCCCAGGAGTTGAATTGACTTGATGCTATACTTTGATTAAAAAGCGTTCCTTTTATTTTTTTGAGCAGTGTATATTGTCGCTTTCATGTCTCTAAACTACAATGAAATGGAAAATTTAGCAAAAAATGGATAATAGCTGATAATGGATTACATGAATTTTCACATGTAGTAAAGACAAACTAAAGAAAAAAGCACAAATGACTGAAGTCTCATTTTCAGTGAATTATAATTTTTATGCACATCTATTAAAATATAATTTCAACATTTGCATTCTGGTATGTGAAGTTACATCGCCGTCAAAGGCCACTAGAGGTCACTGCAGCACAGTAGGACAGCGCTGGCACACTGACTGTGATTTGTGTGATCCATTCTTTAATTCCAGATTTCATTAATTAAAAGATCTAGAACAGTGATGATTAAGGATTCTCAGAGAATTTAAGATTATTTGGATATTTCTGTAACAAAATCTTAAAAACTAAAATTATAGGATTTAAAGCGAGCATTTCTTGGATCTATAAATAAACCCAGTATAAGAGAGATTAGAATTGTGGCTTATTTTTATGCACGTACATCTGTAATTCATTTTAGACACTGGCTACTGGTTAATAAATATTAAACAAGGAACTCAGCCTGTTTTGTTTTGGGTGTATTGGTGCATTTTTTGATCCCCTTTCTGCACATCCTTGGAGTGGAGCTCTCCTATTATTCCCCGAAGACCAGAGACTGTAAGATGAATTTTTGGCCTGTGAACTGGAGTGTATTCTCCACCATTATAGTGTTACTGGCTCTGAAGTGTACTTTCCACCATAATATGTTTATTAAAGTGTTACTAAACCCACTAAAATCAGTCTGTATATACAGTAAAGCATGCTTGTTATACTCACTGTGGAACCTAAGGGGTTATTCCGCTGCAAAAAGGCTGTTTGATCCTCTCTTCTCTGATCCCCCTTCTTCTACTGTCCCCAATCCATCTGCTGATGGAACAGAGCCTTGGGGGCATGCTGCACATGCTCAGATTGGTGTGTATTGCTAGAGAGTTTTTTTTTCTGGGGAGAGTGCATGTGATCAGCACAGGGCCAACCAGCACTGTCCAGAAAGGGGGTCAGGGGTTATGCAGCCTCATAGGACAATCTGGGGAGAATGAAAACTCCTGCAAGTTCTAACCAGAGCTTTGCTGGACACTGATAGAAGTCACAAGACTGCTCTAACTGCTGATGAAAAAAGGTATTTACTAAAATAATTACACTTCCATGTTCTGTGTACTGTGGGAGACCAGATATAGTGAATGCAGGGTCCTGGGTTTAGTGACACTTTAATGCTACCAATCACGGCTACAGTACAATATACCATATTGCAAAGAAACACAAGAATCACAAGATATTTTCCAATTTTCTGATGGTTCGTTGAATGTTGTTGTGGCCCTTTGAGTTAATCCTTGTCCCTAATATAATATGCAATAGGATATTTCTCCTGTCAGGGTTGGACAAAAGTTAAAGTGATTCTAAAGGAATGATGTTTTTTCTCTTAAATAACAAACATGTTATACTTACCTGCTCTGTGCAATAGTTTTGCACAGAGCATCCCCCATCCTCCTCTTCTTGGGTCTCCCGCTGACACTCTCAGCTCCTCCCCCTGCTGAGTGCCCCCACAACAAGACGCTTGCTATGAGGGCACTTGAGTAGGCTCGCTCCTGTTACAATGATGGTGCTCAGATACGGTTAAGGTCAGCTTTAACTTGGAGATCCCTGGTGTGCTGGCAATAAGGGCAGAAACTGACAATGTCACTAGTTTCCAGCTAGCAGTTGCTACCTCTTAGCCTGCTCCAGGAACGTGTGCGATGGGATGGGAGCTGTACAATAAAAGGTGCATTGCAGGTCACACTAAATCCAGATGCATTCTATATGCAAATACTGACTTCAGCAATATGTCAGCAATAAAGTGCTCTGCTCTCATCTCAATGTGCATGGTTTTGGATCATCAAAAGCTAAAGCATAACATTGTAGAGTAATGTGCTTTATGAGCCACATCTTGGATCTGAACCCAATATTTGTACATAGCACATAGCATGTAGTCAGATGAATGTGTACATATTGATGTGAAGATTACTTTAACCACTTGCCCTCCTGAGGATTTACCCCCCTTCCTGACCAGGCCATTTTTTGTGTTACGGCGCTGCGTTAACTGACAATTGCGCGGTTATGCAACGGTGCACCCAAATTAAATTTATGTCCTTTTTTCCCACAAACTGAGCTTTCTTTTGATGGTATTTGATCGCCTGTGCGTTTTTTATTTTTTGCACTATAAAAAAAAAGGTAGACAATTTTGAGAAAAAAACAATATTTTTGACTTTTTGCTATTAAACATGTCCAGTAAAAAAATTTAAAAATCCAATTTCATCATACATTTAGGCCAAAATGTATTCCACTACATGTCTGCTAAAAATAATCCCAATACATGTAAATTAATTGGTTTACATGAAAGTTATAGCTTTTACAAATGTATACTGGAATTTTTTTTTTTTTTTCATTTTTACTGGTAATGGCGGCAATCAGCGACTTATAGTTGGACTGCGGCGGGCATTCTGACACTGGGGGGAACTGACTTGGTGTCACTGACATTCCCAGTGACACCAATACAGTGATGAGTGCTAAAAAAAACCCTTGACACTCTACTAATGGCACTGGGCAGGAAGGGGTTAACATGAGGGGCGATAAAAGGGTTAACTGTGTGCTGGGTATGTTTTTACTATGGGGCCCTGTATTTGTGCTTCACTGCAAGCACACTGCTTTGTATGGCTGTGCTATGCACAGCCATGCAAAGCACTGTGCACGAGATGACAGGGAGGAGAACTGTTTTGTTTACAAACAAACTGTTTTGTTTACAAACAGTTTTCCTCCCCATTGGAGATCACTGGGTGCCAGGGAGTAATCAACGGGTGGGACCTGGTGATTGACAGCCGCGGCCACAAATGCCAGCACGGGTAGGGCTCTTGCACGCCCCCTACCCGGAAATGCAAAATTACGTATATATACATAATTGTACGCAGCCATGCTGCCCTGTAGCAGTATTTCTGCTGTAGGGAGGATAGGAAGCGGTTAATAACCATAGTGGACCTTTGTTCATATGTTTTTACACTTTGTTTAATTAATAAACTATTATTTTTCATGACATGATGTGTATGATCTTAAGTGCTGAAATGTAAAGTCCTACCATTTATGTAATATTTTACAGTACATAGCAGTTACAACAACTTAATTCTAATACAGTCACTTCTAATAAGGGGGAGGGGGTGGGTTTAAAACAACTTAACTGTATCTGAGCACCACAAACTGAAAACACTATTTAATTCATTTTTAATATTTAAAGAAAATGCATCCACCCATCCATGTCACCATGCTTTATTTGTTGGGAAACCACTTTTCTAGCCTGAGTAAAGGCAGATGATTCATGTGACATTTACTTCCTGGAATCCATCTGCCCTTAGCTCAGGTATGCATGCAGGAGGCAGGAAGGCTGTGTTTAGCTGGGATGTATGATATCACTTTGGCCGCGGCCAGAAACCAGGAAGCAATTGAAGAAATGTAAAAATAAAAAAAGGGTTACAACAAGTAAATATAATATACTGCACCTTTCTATCTATTTACTAATGCTAGTAGCATAAGGATTGAAAATAGCGAATGTTCATTGAGAGAGTTTAGTTCTGCGTTAAGCAAAAAATTTCTCTTTAAAATCCACTTGTCACTTACTTTTAGCATTGGCTGGTCTTAAGAAAATCCTCTGCCTTTTCCTGGGGTTCCTATGTGGCCTGTAGTCTGTTTCAGGACACACACAATCTCTGCTCCCATAGCCCTTCGAGTTTATACTTCTTGCCCTTTTCTTCAGAGGTACAACATCTGCAGATCCTTTACACTTATGAATCCGAAGTTTACCAGACACATCTTCAATGCACTGCCATTTCTACGAGGAAACGCAAACATTGTGGGATTGTTATTACGTTTTTATTGATAAATCCGCCTTCACGTTCTGATGACTCAATACTGCTGTAATTTACTTATCTAGGCCCAAACACAGGAGTTTCATCTTGAGTCATGTTCCAATCAAGGCAGTTTAGCTCGTCTACACAGCTTGTACAGTATGTCCTTATTAAAGCCTACAGTAAGTATGGGAAAAAAATCAACACAAGGGGCAGAACATTTAATGTAACGTGTCCCTTGTGCCGGTGCCAGATGCCATAGAGGAAATCTTCAGTTCTCTCCCCTCCACATCCTCCCACCCACCCATTCAGCGATAATATCATAAACCTTTTCTATAACCTTCTTAACCTCACATCCTACCCCGCAATCTCAATACTAACAAAATGTCCATAATAAAGTCCAAAATCCAAAATTGCAAAAATTGCAATTTTGGATTTTGGACTTTATTATGGACATTTTGTTAGTATTGAGATTGCGGGGTAGGATGTGAGGTTAAGTAGGTTATAGAAAAGGTTTATGATATTTGCACTTTCAAGGGTGAAAGTTTTACTTTTCTTTGGGGATTTATAGAGTTTTTGATTTAATCATTCAGCGATAATGTTACAATGCTGGGGGGGTATTACTAGCGCTGTACCTGCGACAGGCACGCATTATGCCTATCTAACAGCAGTGCTGACACTTCCCTTTGCAGCTAAAATAAAGACAACATCATTAACTGCAGTTAGGCATTAAAATGCATATCCAGCCCAAACCTTTTCCTTAGTTTTTGGTAGAGAAAAGTCAGGTTTACTGTTATCCAAGGCTTTGTTAGAAAGATTTCATCTCACTTCCAGTTCTACTGACAATATTTTACCAAGCTGGAAGTGAGTGGAGCAACCCAACACAGATTTTTTTTAACTTCTTCCCAACCTTGATATAGCCAATAGATGGCTACAGCGTGGTCATCCATGGATCCCCTCCCAGAACCACGCCCCCTGGGGTGTGCACCCAGTGTGCTCTGTGATTGATGTGTCCTTCGGACACAGTTAATCACAGATTGTGGTGAAGGGGCCAATCACAGCAGCTCTTTACAATATGATCAGCTGTATAAAATCACAGATGACCACAATGTAAACTGACTTTCTGGTTATTGGAAATCCTTTCCTCACGGACTGTTACAGCGTGAGGAGAGGAGAGCCAGTAACCAGCAATTCACACAGGGTATGTTTACACTGATAATCAGGGCACTGATCATCATTGCCTATCAATGCTGCTCATCAGTGCTGCCTATCAGTGCCCAGCAGTGCCACCTATCAGTGCAGCCTTATTAGTGCCCATCAGTGCAGCCTCAGCAGCGAAGGAGAAAAATTACTTATTTGCAACGTTTATAACAGAAACTAAGAAAATATTTTCTCTTATTCAAAATGTTGTGGTTTCTATTCCTTTGTTAAGCAAAAAATGAAAAACCCAGTAGTGATTAAATATCACCAAAAAGAATCTCTGTCTAAAAAATTATAACAATTTTGTTTGGATACAGTGTTGCATGACCACGTAATTGTCATTCGAACTGCAACAGCACTAAAAGCTGAAAATTGGCCTGGGCAGGAAGGGAGTGAAAGTGCCCTGTATTAAAGTGGTTAAAAGAGCAGGAGCAAGTTAGAACCCAGGGGTGGACTGACCATTTGGAAACTCGGGCACTGCCCGAGGGCCCAGGGTCAGTAGGGGGCCCCATGAGATGCCCCTGGTACCTTTTTCATAGGCTTTTTTGAGTTTGGGCAAGGACACAGGAGCCCCATGATCCCCTATTGCCCGGGGGCCCCATGAGTTGTCAGTCCGCCCCTGTTAGAACCCCTACCAGATTCTATTTTATTCTGTGTCCCTGTTGCAGATTTTCCCTCATCCTTGTCTGGCAAATCCATTTTCAGAAAAGGAGAGGAGGATAAACCTCATTCTCTAGCATGGCAGCCTTTGCCATCCCTCTGTAAATTAATATGTAGTTAAATGCTTTTCAGATTGCATCTTACAGGCAAAGAAGAGGTGATAGGTCACTTCCTCATCACATGTCTTAACCCTATAAAGGCTGAAACACTGGGCCACAACTGTGTGCATTGCACACGTTTGCAGGGCAGTTGCGGCGTCGTACCATTCACTTGAATATGTTACGCTCAGCAGTGGTACCGATTGTTGAATGCGACATGCAATTTAATTTCTGCTGCAGCCTCGAAGCAAAGCATGTGTACAGTCCTGAATGGCTGCATGCACTTTTTTGGGTGGTCAGTCAGGTGGTGGTAACACCCACTTTTACCAAACCGTTGACTGTCCATGAGAAGGAACCCCTGAATAGCAGTAAAAACCCTAACAGGAGTTGCAATCCTTCCTTACTCTATTTAAAACTAACTATAGAGATTATGGCTGAGATGTTAACCTCAATTCCTACTCTCAAACAAGTGTACATACTAAGGAAGCTGCTAGAAAACCCATATCTGCCCAATATCTCCAAAAACCTCCATAGTGGCAAAAAAGGGAACACAGCATCCATCTTACTTACAGACTTCCTTAGAAGCATATCCTTTCTCCAACCCTACAGGTGCTGTTTATGTAGGAATGTAAAATGAGATTCAGTAGTCATTTCACACTCCATAGCTGGCGTGCCAGTCTTCAGATGTTTCCTAAATAGAGGAGGCTGCGAAGTACTGTTTATGTACACTGGACCAGCTCAAATGTCTTCATGTTTAGCATCACATTACTAGGAAGGGATCAAGTAATGCTTGCTCATGATAAATTTATGTAGGGCGCTTCAGACAGGAACAGTCAACAGCTGATACATTTATTTGAAGGACAATTCGGCACACACAGCATTCTGTCTGCAGTGAATGAGCTGTTAATGGGAATTTTTCTCCTTCAGATTTTCAATTAGCAGCAGAGATTGATTAGAGCTGAAACAAAATCGTTTTTGTGAAAACTTCCTGAAGGTATCTGTATCAGTTGTGGTTTCCATAAAAAAGACGTTAACATCTAGTAAACAGATGTTGAAGAGGAGGTGAAAGTGACTCAGCTTGGGAATCTTCATTCCCTATGTTTAATATATAACCCAACTTCCTTCCAGGTTACCAGAAGTGAGTATAAACCAGGCACCGCACAGGAAGCTGTGTAGCTTATCTAAACTCAGCCCAACATGCGGAATATAGAGTTTTGTTTATAAAGCTTTAATGGATGAGCATGCAGTAATGATAAACAGGGAAACTTCTGACCTATTCATAGATAATCTACAAAAAAAAAAAAATCAAATTAAATGCTAGCAGTCAAAGCTGTCCACACAGCTGTGGTTTCAGGAGGCAGCTTGGCATTCACCAGTTTCTGCTGGCAACCTACTCTCTCACTGTCCTCATTTCGGAGGTTTTTCCATCTTAGTGAAGAACTACTGAATGCCGTTATTCTTAATCATAAGAGATAAAGTGATCTGGAATGTAAGTTCATGATGTGGTGTCTTTACAACATGTGTAAAGAAGCTCAAGAATAAAGACAAATATAGAAGGGAGTTTAAAGATAAAGATACTCACCAGCCACTTTATTAGGTACACCTGTTCAATTGCTAGGTAACACAAATTACTAATCAGCCAATCACACAGCAGCAACCCAATGCATTTAGACATCTAGATGCAGTGAAGATGACTTGCTGAAGGTAAAACCGAGTATCAGAATGGGGTCTTGATTACAGCTGCGATATTGAGATGGTAGGGTCAGAATTTGGCATATACAACATGAAAGCATGGATCCATCCTGCCTTGTGTCAATGGTTCAGGCTGGTGGTGGTGGTGTAATGGTGTGGGGGATATTTTCTTGGCGCACTTTGGGCCCCTTAGTACCAATTGAGCATCATTTAAATGCCACAGCATACCTGTGTGTTGTTGCTGACCATGTCCTTGCCTGTATGACTACACTGTACCCATTTTCTGATGGTTACTTCCAGCAGGATAATGCAGCATGTCACAAAGCTAAAATCAACTCAAACTGGTTTCTTCAACATGACAATGAGTCCATTGTACTCCAATGGCCTTCACAGTCACCAGATTTCAATCCAACAGAGCACTTTTGGGATGTGGTGGAATGGGAAATTCGCATCATGGATATGCGGCCGACATATCTGCAGCAACTGCATAATGTTACCATGTCAATATGGACCAAAACCTCTGAGGAATGTTTCCAACACTTTGTTGAATCTATGCCATGAAGAATAAAGGCGTTTCTGAAGGGGGTCTTACCCGATACTAGCAAGGTGTACCTAATTAAATGGGTAGTGAGTATATGTTGCAAACTGATAAAGATCTCATCATCAAGGAGATATTTCAATGTGTACAACTTGGCCAATGTTTCCAATGAGAAGTAAGAATGGTGTTCAATGACAATGACAGTTGAGACGTGCCTAAGGGATCATTTACACTGTCTTCTTGCATAAGTGAACCCATGGCAAATGCCCGCTTTGCTCTTTTTAAGCCTACTCACAAATCTGCAATTCTAGTGCAGTTTTAGTGTGATGAAAAATGAGGCCTGCTAGCAGGGGCGGACTGACAACTCATTGGGCCCCCGGGCAATAGGGGATCATGGGGCCCCTGTGTCCTTGCCAAAACTCAAAAAAGCCTATGAAAAAGGTACCAGGGGCATCTCATGGGGCCCCCTATTGACCCCGGGCCCTCAGGCAGTGCCCGAGTTTCCAAATGGTCAGTCCGCCCCTGCCTGGTAGAACTTCTCTCCATGCATAAGGCTGATAGAACAATTACTTCTGCAAGTGGGCCCTAATGGTATTCATCCCAGAGTTCTTCAAGGTATAGTTCTTGACTGCTAACAAATCTTTTTAATCATTTTTCTTTTTTCTTTGCCTGATGAAAGGGTTTAACATCTGTTGTAGTCAAGTTATCCGAATCACTCCTGAACAAAAGGATCATTGGTAACTTAAAAACACACAACCTGCTGGACCCAAAGCAACATGGTTTTATTGAAGGAAGA